ACAGTGTTTAGTACCACTGCCCGTTAGAAAACCCATGTATCCAGTAGACAGTGTTTAGTACCACTGCCCATAAGAAAACCCATGTATCCAGTAGACAGTGTTTAGTACCACTGCCCGAAAGAAAACCCATGTATCCAGTAGACAGTGTTTAGTATCACTGGCTATAAGAAAACCCATGTATCCAGTAGACAGTGGTTAGTACCACTGCCCGTAGGCAAACCTATTTATCCAGTAGACAGTGTTAAGTACCACTGCCCGTAAGAAACCCATTTATCCAGTAGACATAGTTTAGTACCACTGCCCGTAAGAAAACCCATTTATCCAGTAGACAGAGTTTAGAACCACTGCCCGTAAGAAAACCCATTTATCCAGTAGACAGTGTTTAGTACCACTGCCCGTAAGAAAACCCATTTATCCAGTAGACAGTGTTTAGAACCACTGTTCATAAGCAAAACCATTTATCCAGTAGACAGTGTTGAGTAACACTGCCCGTAAGAAAACCCATTTATCCAGTAGACAGAGTTTATTACCACTGCCTGTAAGAAAACCCATTTATCTAATCGACAGTGTTTAGTACCACTGCTCGTAGGCAAACCCATTTATCCAGTAGACAGTGTTTAGTACCATTGCCCGTAAGAAAACCCATGTAACCAGTAGAAAGTGGTTAGTACCACTGCCCGTAGGCAAACCCATTTATCCAGTAGACAGTGTTTAGAACCAACGCCCGTAGGCAAACCAATTTATCCAGTAGACATTGTTTAGTACCACTGCCCTTAAGAAAACCCATTTATACAGTAGACAGTGTTTAGAACATCTGTTCATAAGCAAAACCATTTATCCAGTAGACAGTGTTTAGTACCACTGCCCTTAAGAAAACCCAAGTAGACAGTAGACAGTGTTTAGAACCACTGACCGTAAGAAAACCCATTTATCCAGTAGACAGTGTTTAGTACCACTGCCCGTAGGCAAACCCATTTATCCAGTAGACAGTGTTTAGTACCACTGCCCGTAAGAACAGTTTTAGAACCACTGCCTGTAAGAAAACCCATTTATCCAGTAGACAGTGTTTAGTACCACTGCCTGTAAAAACAGTGTTTAGAACCACTGCCTGTAAGAAAACCCATTTATCCAGTAGACAGCGTTTAGTACCACTGCCCGTAAGAAAACCCATGTTCAAGAGGTCATTACAGCTGTGGTAAGGGTATCCTTACCATCAGTGGTGCTTAATGCTATTTACTGGGTAGATGATACACTTTAAAACAGCAGTGGTACTTAACAATGGCTACATTTTGTTACTATAACCAGCAGTGGTATAAACAATTGTCTTCTCAGTGGCAATAACCAGCGTGTACTAGGTAGAGTGTAAACTTGGATACCCATACTGGCAGTGGTACTATGCTGGTAAGGGTACTCTTCTTCCCAGTAGAAGCACAATTGCTGTAAGGGTAACCAAATGTACCATCTACCAAGTAGACAGTGTTCAGTACCACTGCAAGAAAGGGAACCTGTCTACTCAGTAGACGCTGTTAGGTACCACTGCCAGTATGGGTATCCATGTTTACACTCTACCCAGTACACACTGGTTATTCCCATTCAGAAGATAATTGTTTGGAACCACTGCCGGTTAGGTTAACCAAATGTAGGCACTGTTTAATACCAAAAGTGTATCATCTACCCAGTAGAGTGTTAAGTAGCACTGCCCTTAGCCAAACCCATTTATCCAGTAGACAGTGTTTAGTACCACTGCCTGTAAGAACAGTGTTTAGAACCACTGCCCGTAAGAAAACCCATTTATCCAGTAGACAGTGTTTAGTACCACTGCCCTTAGGCAAACCCATTTATCCAGTAGACAGTGTTTAGTACCACTGTCCATAGGCAAACCCATTTATCCAGTAGACAGTGTTTAGTACCACTGCCTGTAAGCAAACCCATTGATTCTGTAGACAGTGTTTAGTACCACTGCCCTTAGGCAAACCCATTTATCCAGTAGACAGTGTTTAGTACCACTGTCCGTAGGCAAACCCAATTATCCAGTAGACAGTGTTTAGTACCACTGTCCATAGGCAAGCCCATTTATCCAGTAGACAAGTGTTTAGTACCACTGCCCTTAGGCAAACCCATTTATCCAGTAGACATTTTTAAGTACCACTGCCCGTAAGAACAGTGTTTAGAACAACTGCCCTAAAGAAGACCCATTTATCCAGTAGACAGTGTTTAGTACCACTGCCCGTAAGAAACCCATTTATCCAGTAGACAGTGTTTAGTACCACTGCCCATAAGTGAACCCATTTATCCAGTAGACAGTGTTTAGTACCACTGCTGCAAAGGGTACAACTCTGCCCAGTGGACAAGGTTCAGTACTACTACTTGTTAGGGTACTTTAAAGTATAATCTACCAAAGAGACAGTGTTTATTCCCACTGTGGTTAAGGTACTCAAGAGTACCATCTACTCATTAGCTAGTGTATACCATCTACTCATTAGCTAGTGTATAGTACCACTGCCTGTAAGCAAACCCATTTATCCAGTAGACAGTGTTTAGTACCACTGCCTGTATGAACAGTGTTTAGAACCACTGCCTGTAAGAAAACCCATTTATCCAGTAGACAGTGTTTAATACCACTGCCTGTATGAACAGTGTTTAGAACCACTGCCTGTAAGAAAACCCATTTATCCAGTAGACAGTGTTTAGTACCACTGCCCGTAAAAACAGTGTTTAGAACCACTGCCTGTAAGAAAACCCATTTATCCAGTAGACAGTGTTTAGTACCACTGCCCGTAAGAAAAACCATGTTCAAGAGGTCATTACAGCTGTGGTAAGGGTATCCTTACCATCAGTGGTGCTTAATGCTATTTACTGGGTAGATGATACACTTTAAAACAGCAGTGGTACTTAACAATGGCTACATTTGGTTACTATAACAAGCAGTGGTATAAACAATTGTCTTCTCAGTGGCAATAACAAGCGTGTACTAGGTAGAGTGTAAACTTTGATACCCATACTAGCAGTGGTACTATGCTGGTAAGGGTACACTTCTTCCCAGTAGAAGCACAATTGCTGTAAGGGTTACCAAATGTACCATCTTCCAAGTAGACAGTGTTCAGTACCACTGCAAGAAAGGGAACCTGTCTACCCAGTAGATGCTGTTAGGTACCACTGCAAGTATGGGTATCCATGTTTACACTCTACCCAGTACACACTGGTTATTCCCATTCAGAAGATAATTGTTTAGAACCACTGCCGGTAAGGTTAACCAAATGTAGGCACTGTTTAGTACCAAAAGTGTATCATCTACCCAGTAGACAGTGTTTAGTAGCACTGCCCTTAGGCAAACCCATTTACCCAGTAGACAGTGTTTAGTACCACTGCCCGTAAGAACAGTGTTTAGAACCCCTGCCCATAAGAAAACCCATTTATCCAGTAGACAGTGTTTAGTACCACTGCCCTTAGGCAAACCCATTTATCCAGTAGACAGTGTTTAGTACCACTGTCCGTAGGCAAACCCAATTATCCAGTAGACAGTGTTTAGTACCACTGCCTGTAAGCAAACCCATTGATTCTGTAGACAGTGTTTAGTACCACTGCCCTTAGGCAAACCCATTTATCCAGTAGACAGTGTTTAGTACCACTGCCCTTAGGCAAACCCATTTATCCAGTAGACAGTGTTAAATACCACTGACCGTAAGAACAGTGTTTAGAACAACTGCCCTAAAGAAAACCCATTTATCCAGTAGACAGTGTTTAGTACCACTGCCCTTAAGAAAACCCATTTATCCAGTAGACAGTGTTTAGTACCACTGCCTGTAGGCAAACCCATGTATCCAGTAGACAGTGTTTAGTACCACTGCCCATAAGAAAACCAATGTATCCAGTAGACAGTGTTTAGAACCACTGCCTGTAAGAAGACCTGTGTATCTAGTAGACAGTGTTTAGTACCACTGCCTGTAAGAAAACCCATGTATCCAGTAGACAGTGTTTAGTACCACTGCCCTTAGGCAAACCCATTTATCCAGTAGGCAGTGTTAAATACCACTGCCCGTAAGAACAGTGTTTAGAACAACTGCCCTAAAGAAAACCCATTTATCCAGTAGACAGTGTTTAGTACCACTGCCCTTAAGAAAACCCATTTATCCAGTAGACAAGTGTTTAGTACCACTGCCCGTAAGCGAACCCATTTATCCAGTAGACAGTGTTTAGTACCACTGCCCGTAGGCAAACCCATGTATCCAGTAGACAGTGGTTAGTACCACTGCCCGTAGGCAAACCTATTTATCCAGTAGACAGTGTTAAGTACCACTGCCCGTAAGAAACCCATTTATCCAGTAGACAGTGTTTAGTACCACTGCCCGTAAGAAAACCCATTTATCAAGAAGACAGTGTTTAGTACCACTGCCCGTAAAAAAACCCATTTATCCAGTAGACAGTGTTTAGTACCACGACTCGTAAGAAAACCCATTTATCCAGTAGACAATGTTTAGTGTTTTTCAGGAAAGCCAAGAAGAAAATATTAAAGACAGGTTTGATATCAGTATGCCGTTATTTTGTTTACTTCTTCAGTTTGACTGGACACTTTCAGTTGGGTACTAGTCCCCATGAATACCTTGAACATTGCAGCAAATCCTTCTCAACTGTCTGAGTTTACTTTTAATTTGAGAAATAAACAGGACTAAATAATGAAAAACAATTGCTTTCAGTGTCCTCCTTTTGGCTTTATTTAGTGTTATAACTCTTTACACTTTGATATTTTGAAAATTTTATTGTGAATGCACTAAGTGATATTGTTGTTTTAAATGTCCATATCCTGACTATGTGGCATGGGTTTGCTCATTGTTGAAGGTTGTACAGTGATCTATAGTTGTTAATTTCTGTGTCATTTGGTCTCTTGTGGAGAGTTGTCTCATTGGCAATCATACAACATCTTCTTATTTTATGTATGGTGCATCAATAAATATTGATTTCAGGTTATTCTGTTTAAAAGTAAGAACTTGTAATATACATACCTGCAAGTATTTCATTACTTCTTTGTTACTTTTATTAAACTTCAGATTTGCTGCTGCAAGATCATATGGAGTTTTACCCTGAAATCAGTGAAAAATATTAATATATATTTATATTTATCAAACCGATCTATTTTGCAACATCTATTTGCCAATAAAACAGCTGAGTGCTATTTTATTTCATGTTGTGACCCCTCAGCTCCGATCATCACTTCATACCAGTAAAAGCTGGGTAGTATTTTATTTCATTTCGTGACCCCCTCAACTCTAATCATCACTTCATACCAGTAAAAGCTGGGTAGTATTTTATTTCATTTCGTGACCCCTCAGGTCTGGTCATCGCTGCATACCAGTAAAAGCTGGGTTGTATTTTATTTCATTTCGTGACCCCCTCAACTCTAATCATCACTTCATACCAGTAACAGCTGAGTGAAATTTTATTTTATTTTGTGACCCTCAGCTCTGATCATTACTTCTTGAACTTAGTTACATATTTCAACAAGCTAAAAATTGCAGTTGCTGAGAAAAAAAAAGTGACAAACATTTTATATTCATGTAAATTAGTGTCTCTGTGTTGATTGCTGCGTATCGTCCAGCGGCAAATATTAAATGCATATTAAGGATTGTAAATGTTACAGTACCACCATTATTCTCGACTTTGTATTCGACTGACATGTTAACTCAAGCGAGCTAGCTCAAATAGCCCCAGTTTACAAGAATCAATGTCATCATGCTCGGATATATAATTCTGACTCTGAGCCCGAGTCTAAGCTTTCTTCCCTAAATGATGAACACAGAACATGAATTTGTCGTGTGAAACCTGGTTGGGAATAAACTCATAAACACTGTTAGGAAACAGCTGGCTATCATCAGATCAACCATGTAGTTTATTGTTATTTACACACCTGTGCTCACCAGTGACTTAATTCTATACAAACAGCAATGTTATACTGTAAATTCAGAAATTATTGCGAGTTTTTATTAATGCAAATAATGCGAATGGGTGAGTATCGCAATAATATGAACTCGTATTCTGATAACTGAAACAAAGACCTGTATGCAGATTTTTTGGCAATCGCAATAATTCAACTCGCATTTTTGTCCATTCCTGAAAAATCGCAATAATACATGCAATAATTTCTGAATTTAAAGTAATGTATCTAGACAGGTCCATAATATCTTAACTTAAATTTGCCAGAAATATCACTTAAGTGTTGTATCTTGGTTAACATTTATAACAATAAAAACTTTGTACCAAACAGATTTTACACATCATCTAAGTGATCCATAAATTAATTGAACACTGGGCATATACTATAAAATATTACCTCATGTGTTGTAACCAAGGGACTGATACCTCTTTGTTCTACAAGATATCTTGTGACCTGTAGATGTCCCTCCTCAGCAGCCAGATGTAAAGCTGTGTATCCATTGATCTATAATATAACCAAATAACATGTAAATATTATGGACAATACTTTGTTATCAATATCAATAATATACAACATATCCTACAACTGACATTAAAACTGATAAACTGGACAATGTTGTGTAAGAAATAAAAACAAAATATATATCACATGAATCAGTGGTCAAAACTGAATAAAATGACCACTCACACTTGTATTTATATTCTATATAAACAATAAATAAACATGTTTTGTTGTGAAATGTCAAAACTTCCATTAAACCTGATATCTTAAAAAAAAAAAAAATTCAAGAAATGTGTAAAATAATTATATCAATGGATTCAGTAGAACAAAACAAGTAAAATGAGACCCCACTTTATATGATTCTTACAAATATTTGTTCATTAAAACTGTCTAATTAACAACAGGATTTAGTGTAGATTCAGTATAATCATTCATTTTAATAAAATAATTTTTTTAAAGAAACATAAAAAAAAATTTATATTTCTGATTCAGAACAATAATACGAGTAAAATGAGACCCCACTTGATATAATTATTACAAATATTTGTTCATTAAACCTGTCTAATTAACAACATGATTTTGTGTTGATTAATAGTAATGTGATCAGACTAAGTAGATAACATACATCTGTGGTGTCGATCTTACATCCTGTATCAATGAGAAGTCTACAGACCTCCAGGTGTCCTCTCCAGGCAGCAAACATTAATGCTGTCCATCCATACTCCTGGAATAATACAACTGACATCAAAACTTGTCTGATAAACTGGACAATGTTGTGTTATAAATATAAACAAAATATATATCACATGAATCAGTGGTCAAAACTGAATAAAATGACCAGTCACACTTGTATTTATATTCTATATAAACAATAAATAAACATGTTTTGTTGTGAAATGTCAAAACTTCCATTAAACCTGATATCTTAAAAAAAAATTTTTTTTAAGAAATGTGTAAAATAATTATATCAATGGATTCAGTAAAACAAAACAAGTAAAATGAGACCCCACTTTATATGATTCTTACACATATTTGTTCATTAAAACTGTCTAATTAACCACAGGATTTAGTGTAGATTCAGTATAATTATTCATTTTAATAAAATATTTTTTTTAAAGAAACATAAAAAAAGTAATATTTTCTGATTCAGAACAATAATACAAGTAAAATGAGACCCCACTTGATATAATTATTACAAATATTTGTTCATTAAACCTGTCTAATTAACAACATGATTTTGTGTTGATTAATAGTAATGTGATCAGACTAAGTAGATAACATACTGTTGTGGTGTCGATCTTACATCCTGTATCAATGAGAAGTCTACAGACCTCCAGGTGTCCTCTACTGGCAGCCCACATTAATGCTGTCCATCCATACTCCTGGAATAATACAACTGACATCAAAACTTGTCTGATAAACTGGACAATGTTGTGTAATAAATATAAACAAAATATATATCACATGAATCAGTGGTCAAAACTGAATAAAATGACCAGTCACACTTGTATTTAGATTCTATATAAACAACAAATAAACATGTTTTGTTGTGAAATGTCAAAACTTCCATCAAACCTGATATCTTCAAAAAAAAAATTTTTCAAGAAATGTGTAAAATAATTATATCAATGGATTCAGTAGAACAAAACAAACAAAATGAGACCCCACTTTATATGATTCTTACAAATATTTGTTCATTAAACCTGTCTAATTAACAACAGGATTTAGTGTAGATTCAGTATCATCATTCATTTTAATAAAATAATTTTTTTAAAGAAATATAAAAGAAGGTTATATTTTTTGATTCAGAACAATAATACAAGTAAAATGAGACCCCACTTGATATAATTATTACAAATATTTATTCATTAAACCTGTCTGATTAACAACATGATTTTGTGTTGATTAATAGTAATGTGATCAGACTAAGTAGATAACATACATCTGTGGTGTCGATCTTACATCCTGTATCAATGAGAAGTCTACAGACCTCCAGCTGTCCTTCCCTGGCAGCCCACATTAATGCTGTCCATCCTCTACCCTGGAATAATACAACTGACATCTGATAAACTGGACAATGTTGTGTAATAAATATAAACAAAATATATATCACATGAATCAGTGGTCAAAACTGAATAAAATGACCAGTCACACTTGTATTTATGTTCTATATAAACAACAAATAAACATGTTTTGTTGTGAAATGTCAAAACTTCCATTAAACCTGATATCTTAAAAAAAAAAAATTTTTTCAAGAAATGTGTAAAATAATTATATCAATGGATTCAGTAGAACAAAACAAGTAAAATGAGACCCCACTTTATATGATTCTTACAAATATTTGTTCATTAAAACTGTCTAATTAACAACAGGATTTAGTGTAGATTCAGTATAATCATTCATTTTAATAAAATAATTTTTTTAAAGAAACATGAAAAAAAGTTATATTTTCTGATTCAGAACAATAATACAAGTAAAATGAGACCCCACTTGATATAGTTATTACGAATATTTGTTCATTAAAACTGTCTGATTAACAACATGATTTAGTGCAGATTCAGTATAATCATGATAATCATTAATTTTATTGATATATAAAATATGTTTTTTAAAGAAAAATGAAAAAAAGTTATATTTTCTGATTCAGAACAATATTATGAGAACAATGGAATTACATTTAATATGAATTTACTGACTAATTATAATTTTTATAAGATGTTTCTACATTAGATCTTTATAAATATAACTATCTAACTAAAGTAGTTAACAAATCCAAGTAAAACCTTAGTGTAAAAAAATGTTTCTTGTTAAGCAGCAAAATAAGAACTTTACCATCTATGATTCAGAACAAAAAGATAAATATTTTAAAGAGAATCACTTCATGCATATTTTCCCAATAAAACTGTCTGATTAATAACAGAATTTTGATTTATTGTTGATTCAGTATAATGATATAATTATCAGTTTCTATACAGACCTATGGTAGTTGAACTTTGCAGGCTTTTGTTTAGATTTTTACTCTTATTACCAATGGTCTAGATAGGTGGATTGTGCATAGCAAATATGGTTTAACCCCTCCCCATTTAGTGATGGTACCAGATAAGACAACCCAGGCCATGAATTGTTAGTTATTTGTTTGTCTATTTACTCTGAGTAGTAGTAAGGTGTTTGTGTTTGTTGTGATCTGTTGTATCCTATATTTTAGGCAATTCCTGTTAATACATATTTATGAATTATCAAAATTATAACGTTTTCAAGAAAATCAAACTCATTTTGAGTGTTATTTTTAATAATGTTGGATTATAGGAAGTAGATTACGCCGTTGTACTTTGATCACAGGTAGGTTTCACATTCAGTGTTGTACTGTGATAACAGGTAGGTTTCTCATTCAGTGTTGTACTGTGATAACAGGTAGGTTTCACATTCAGTGTTGTACTGTGATAACAGGTAGGTTTCACATTCAGTGTTGTACTGTGATAACAGGTAGGTTTCACATTTAGTGTTGTACTGTGATAACAGGTAGGTTTCACATGCAGTGTTGTACTTTGATATCAGTGTTTCACATTCAGTGATGTACTGTGATAACATGTAGGTTTCACATTCAGTGTTGTACTTTGATTACAGGCATGTTTCACATTCAGTGTTTTTTAGATTACAGGTATGTTTCACATTGTGTTGTACTTAGATTACAGGTAGGTTTCACATTCAGTGTTTTTCAGATTACAGGTATGTTTCACATTCTGCGTTGTGCTTTGATTACAGGTATGTTTCACAATCAGTGTTGTGCTTTGATTACAGGTATGTTTCACATTCTATGTTGTACTTTGATTACAGGTAGGTTTCACATTCAGTGTTGCGCTTTGATTACAGGAATGTTTTACATTCAGTGATGTGCTCTGATTACAGTGTTTCACATTCAGTAATGTGCTTTGATTACAGGTAGGTTTCACATTAAGTGATGTGCTTTGATTACAGGAATGTTTTACATTCAGTGATGTGCTCTGATTACAGGTATGTTTCACATTCTGTGTTGTACTTTGATTACAGGTATGTTTCACATTTAGGGATATTAGTTGTGTGTTTTATACTTTATATGTACAACCTGCCTTGTTTTGAAGTAACTTGTAGTTGTGATTTTATACTGCAACAATCTACTTTATTGTTAAACAGCCATGTTTAAGTTATTTAAAGTGTGTGTTATATATTGTTAATGTTCAACTGTCAGGTTTTGAAGTAATATGCAATTGTATTTCATTCTATAACAACTTGCTGTATTTTGAAGTAACATCTAGTTGTGTTTTATACTGTAACAATTCGCTATATTTTGAAGAAATATGTAGTTATGTGATTTATATTGCATAAGTAAGATCTACTATGTTCTGAAGTTATCTGATAGTTGTGTGTTTTTTTACTGTACATAAGTATTTTGCTCTAGTTCTAATTTGAATGTTACTATTGTACCTAATGAGACTATTTCAGTGATTAATATTATAATACCATGTTGATTGCTGTACCCCTATTTTTGACATTTTTACCTATTATGTCTGTTTATATAAAATAGAAGATGTAGTATGATTGCCAATGAGACAACTCGTCACAAAAGACCAAATGACACAGAAATAAACAACTATAGGTCACTGTACAGCCTTCAACAATGAGCAAAGCCAATACTGCATAGTCAGCTACAGACCTTCCAAAATTCAAACTGACCATTATTCCGTGCGTTCATCGTGTATCGTGCGTGCGTGTATCATGCGTGTACCAATCGTGCTCTCATCATTCATCGTTCCGTGTATTTTCCGTGTAACATGCGTGCATCATGTATTCTTAATCGTGTATGGTGCCTGTATCGTGTGTGTATCGTGTGTTCATCAATCATTCATTCTTAACCGTGTATCGTGCGTTCGTCAATCGTGTATAACTGTGTACATCAGATAACGTGCATTTGTCAAACGTTCATCTCTAATCGGGTAACATTCATTCATTGCGGTTTTTATATGATAGACGGTTATAGAGCTCATCAAAGCTTATATTTTATCTCACGGTTAAAGTGTATATATATATGTTCCGACTTTAAATAAAATTTACAATCATACTTACTTTCTTGTGAACACTTAATTAACTTCATCGTACATAACGTTCATACAGATTCATGAATTTTTGTGTAAAATTTATTTATCATCTGTAAACATTTCGTGGTTATTCAGTGAATCTTGGCTGGGAATGACACATTTTAATATAATGATACATGTTCTACATACAAACAATAACATGATGACATTTCTACGACAGAACAGTTAAAATTGGAATTTCTATTCAACTGAGCGAAATGGGCTTAAAAATATACTGTTGGCTAACTGTTATTTGTTAAAAAATATTCCGCCAATTAAAAACAACAGTGCTTTTGCAAAATTTAGATGTGGGATAGCTCCACTAAAAATAGAAACTGGAAAGTATGAAAGAAAAGAAGTCCACGAGATGACATGTGTTGTAGCTCTTCTATTGAAGATGAACTTCATGTCATTTTAAAATGCCCATTATATGTAGATTTAAGACAAATTATGATACATTAAGCTAAACATTTTAATGAACATTTTAACCTTTAATTATCAGATAGCGAAATATTTTTATTTAATAACGGCAATGTTGCTGCTATAGTTGCCAAAAACATCAACAATATTTCATTGAAAAGAAACGGCATTTTATTTCCTAGTTCTCAAAGAAAAAATGTTTTATTTTCATATAGTACAGGTGGACACTGTAAATTTGAAATGTAAATGAGTAAATATATTGTGTCTTAAAAGTCTCTCATTATTCTTTTTAAGATTGGTACATACAATGCAAATGTTTTAATGTTTTATGTTTATTTCTGTGATTCTCATTTTATGTTTGTATGTGGTGAGACTATAATAAAATATTGAATCAGTATTAACATGATTAATGTTCAACTTGAGTCATTTCTCCAATGTTGAACAATGCAAGATTATAATTCTTCGCTTATTTGGCAAATTCATATTCTACTAAATATTCAAACATTTAAATTTTGATAAATACCATTACAAATATAATTTTTGTTTTCGTTTCTGATGGTCACGTGCACGTAAGTTTATTCCATTGAGAAAATACAATATACAAGATTGTCGGGTAAATGTGGATTGCGGATTAAGATTTTAGATGTCAAACTTGAATTAACAAATTAAACTGAGGCGAATTTAACACGAATATGTATTTTCTCTTCAACAGTGTTTTTATTCTCTGTTCTTTATTTTCATTTAAAATAAGCTAAATATGTTTTGTGGAAAATTGAATACAAATAAACATATATATGCATTTGAAGGCATTTTTTTAATTAAACAAGTATAAGATCACGCAAATATATCCCGTATTACTTAAGAAGGATTTTAAATTGAGGAACTTTTTAAACTTGAAATTGTGTTTACGAGTTTAAGATATTCTTTTTATTTAAACTTTTTGATAAAATAGTTAAATATATATTGT